GCCTGGATATCCTATTACCCAAGGATCCCCTGAAAGACTTGAGGATGTGCAATCTTGAGGAGAGATGAATTAGAGGGGACATGATAGCAGTCTTAAAGTAAGTGAAGGGCATTCATGGAAAAAGAATTTGTGCTACTGGTCCTGGATCGCAGGACTAGAGCCAGTAGGTAGAAAATACAAAGAAGAAGATGTCAGTTCAGCATAAGGAAATGCTTAATTAGAGTGATTCAACAATGGAACGGTCGGCCTCAGTGAGGAAGAAGATTTTCATTTCTAAGGACATGCTGGGGAGGTGGCTGGTGGGGCATGCGGGGTGGCGCCAGGCCCTGGGCGAAAGCTAAACCAGGTGTTTTAGGAGATCCTTTATTTATTGGATTTTGGTAAATAGAGAGAGCTCTATGCTTCATGTTACAGATGAAGAAAAAGAGGCTCAGAAAAGTTGTTGCTGAATCCCCCATTTGGGTCCTCCTGGCAGAGATACTGGAGTGGTTTGTCATTTCCTTCTATAGTTCATTTTACAGATGAGGAAACTGAGGCAAACAGGGTAAAGTGACTTGTCCAGGGTCACACAGTTAATAAGTGTCTAAGGCTGGATTTGAACTCAGGAGGATGAATCTTCCTGATTCCAAGCCCAGTGCGCTACCCACTGTGCCACCTAGGTGCCCAGGAAAAGTACTCACTCAAAATTTTAACTCCAATAGTAAGTATCTAAACCTGCACTTGAATCCAGGTTATCTGACACCATGTCAAGACCTCTTCCCAGTAGACTGAACATGGGGATTGACTGAGCTGGGGGAAGGGAGAGTCATTGAAGGCTTCAGAGGGGACACAGCATTTCAGCTGATCTAGGAAGGATTTCAACTGGCATGCATGGGAGTGAAGAGACATCTGAGATACAGGGAATGGCATCAATGAAGTCACAGAGGCAAGAAAGCATGGAGGGATGCAGGAAATATCGAGATGTCCAGTATAGCAGAATGAAGAGGGCCTGGGAGAAGAAAAATGGAGCTCAGAAGATGTTCTGGGTGGCTTTATGCTAGTCCTTGAAGGTGGCGATGAATGCCTATATCAGGGTGATGACAGCAGGGATAAAAAGGAGGACCACAGGCCAGATGGCGTGAAGGGGTTGTTGACAGGACGTGATTAGTTATGTGAACAGAGAAAGAGGGGACGGGGAAGAAAATCTCATCTGGGAACACTGGTGTCTACTAACCATAACCATAGCTAAGCCATAACCAAGCTAAGGAAGAAAAGAGAAAGGAACAGCCAACCAGGTCAGGAGCAGCAGAGAACCCAAGGAAAGGAATGGAGAGGGAAAATGGTTAATTAAGCACGGACATCATGCCCAGCACTGGAGATTCAAAAAGAAAATGTAGACAGTCCATGCTCTCAAGAAGGTCACATCCTAATGAAGAGAAACAACACGTAAAGGAAGGCTCAAGTCCACGTTCAGTTCATGGCAGGTAGGAAGGCGAGATGGTTCTTGGGCAGGGGCAGGAGCAGGGCAGATGGCAAGGTCCAGAAAGGACTAGGAAGGAAAAAGAAAAGACCACTCTGTTTGGTGCTTAGAGAGAACTAGTCATTCTGCTGGACTAGAAGGGTTGAGGAGACAGAATGTGTTGAGGAAATGAAGGCATGGGGTAGGCATGGCGATAGAGTATTTTTCACTCAAGTCTAAAGACTGTCATTTATGGTACTTTGGCAAGATAATTGATTCCATTTTTCTAGACAGCAAAAAGCTAAAGATATAGCACTTCACAGTCAGGAGAAGGACCACAAGCTAGTCTCAGCTTCCAGGTTCATTAAAGACCATGTTCCTAAAAAGCCCGAGTGGCCAGTGAGAGTTCCTCAAGTTATTACAATGACCTCAGAGGCTCAGAGCACCTAGCATGCAATAATGATATGGTCCATTCCACCCCCCAACACACACACACACACACACACACACACACACACACACACCCTATGAAGATCCCAGTAATCTAGGTCAGTCAAAACAATGGAGTGCTCATTCATCTGTCCCTAGAAACGCAACAATTCACATGCACTGGTAGAATTACAACTATGTGCCCAGAGTATCCAATCACCAAGCAAGTCAAAAGAGTTTAAATGGTACAGACCTCATCTTCAAACTCAACAAGCATGGATCTAGTTGGGAAGACAAGTCATAATAAGCTGGACCGATAAGAAATATGAGAGCAAATAGAATCAAGCGTCAATTGGTACAGCACAGACCGCAAGTGAAACAAGAGGAGGGACTAATCAAACCATAAGCATTTATTAAGCACCTACTATGCGTCCCGGGATGGTGCTAGGCACTGGGAACAGAAAAAGAATGAATTTAAAAATTCCTGCTCAAAGGTGCTTGTACTCTACCAAGAGAGTAATCACTGGGGACTAGGGCAGCCAAAAGGTATCCTTCATAATAGAGAATCCCAGAATCTCAAAGGTTGAGAAAAGCTCAGAAGCCACGCCTGACCAAAAACCCCATCTGCAACATCCTTCATTCGACAAAATCTATTGGTTACTACTTCCTGAAACTTAACCCATTCCATTCTGAGACACTTTGGTGGGTAGTTTTCCTCACATCAAGCCAAAACCTGACTCCCTACAGCTCCGACTCACTGGTCCAATTTTTTAGCTTCTGGGACCAAGTGGGGAAAAAAAAATCAACATGCATTTATTAAGCACCTACTGTGTGCAAGGCACTTCATGTGAATCAGCTTTCAAAGACTTGAAGACAGTCATCATGTTCCCTTACTTCTGCTCTACCAGCTAAACATCCATACTTTCTTTACTTGATCCTCAAATGGCAGAAACCCGAGGTCCCTACAACCTACTAGTCATCCTCTTATAGACACTTTCCAGTTTATCGGTGTCTAAATGGGAGTGTCCAGAACTGAACACAAGACCCCAAAGGTCAGGTCTGAGCAGGACAGAGCTCCAAAAGGCCATCAACTCTCTTATTCTGGGCACAATGCCTTTCTGAATAAATACACATTGATTGATTAATTCAGCCCAAGATTGTTTTCTCTTTTGGCTGTGAAATCATACTTGTAAATCTCATACTGAGTTTGTTGTCCACTAAAATCTTTACACTGTGTTCACACCAACTATTTTCTAGACTTCTCCATCTTAGTATGTGAAATTGATTTTTTGGTCCCAAGCTTAGACTTTTACATTTATTTTGACCAGTGCAGGTTATCTGTAGTAGAAATACATGTTAGTATTGCACACTGCCAAGAAAGCACTGTTTGCAAAGGAGTGAAGAGGTCCCTTGGAATTCAAAATATTAGTAGTATTGTGAGAAAATTTCTCTGTGACCTGTTTCCTCAATTAAAAAATGAGAAAATTGGGATATATGATCACTACAATTCCTCCTCTTTGGCTGCTTTTTTTTTTCTCTTTGGGTCAGAGGGCAAAGGAGTGGAAGGACACATTTGACAGCCAAGAGGTCTAAATGATAGAGCAGTCCCAGGAAAAGAGAAAAGAAGAAAAGGTGATCATCATTTACCAAGCATAGTCCAGCTGCCAGGACTTAGGACCTGTCCAAAGGCCCCATCATATGCCAAAACACAAAAAGTAATAATAGCAGCCAGAATAACTAGAAAAAAGTGATTACTACACCCCAGAAACATGTGCATTTCATTTCTGGTCTGGCAGTTGGGAAATACAGGGAGTTTCTGAATTCTCTCTTACTTGACATAAACATTAGGAATCAGCATCTATATCCCCATGGAGTTCATAGGATAATAAAGCTGAAAAGGATTTTCAGGGCCAGATGCTTCAACCCTCTTATTTTACAGAAGGGGAAACTGAGACCCAGAGAGGCTAAATCACTTGTCCAAGTTATATGGGTAGATCAAGTGTCAGAGGCAGGATTTGAACTCTAGTCCTCTGGCTATACTATGCTACCTCTTATGCATTTCCAATGACTTTGTGGTCATCTTCACTACTCACCCAAGAGCCACTCATTGTTTTGCCCAATTCTGATATCACTCCAAAACTTAAAAAGATACAGCAAAGCTATTTCCCAAGTGATTTGAGTCCCACTGGCTGTCCAGCATTCCCAGAACCTAGTGACCCAATGGTCAGGGGCTCAAAGCTAGAAATCTCATTCCAAACTCCCTCACTGCTACCCCATTAGCCCAGGAAGACAGACAAGCCTCTGAACTTCAGTCCCAGGACTACAGAGCAAAAAGGAAATTTCTCTGACATTTCCTTGTAGGGGGAAAGAGGGTTCTTTCTCAAAATTCTAAAGTGGCCAGGAGGCAAGGTGGGTGAGTCACTAGGCAGATGCCAAGGCTGAAAGCCTGCCACTCAGTGCAAGCACAGGATCCAGACTAGGCCTCCTTTTCAGAGCTGGTCTCCCATTTCCCTAGCGGGGGGTTTCTGGCAGCAACTGTACATTCCTTTAGAAACACAGCAAGCGATGAGGTCATTTCTAGACAATTCAATAAGAAGGCCTATGGAAACCCATCAGAGAAACAGCAACATAGCCAAGAGCTCCCTCTCCACAGTCCCCATTGGAGCTGTTCAAAGTGTGTAAGTAAACGGCAGTTTTCAAACTGCAGGCTTCCTATCAACTGGACTCTCAGTGGGGCTCCAGACCTAGATGATGCCAAATGAATACTTGGGTCAACTGGAGTTCATGGAGGTAAACTTTGGAAGAAACCTGGAGATCCTGGATTCCGGGTGCCAGGCCTGAAATGTTTGCTTTGGGGGAGGCTCCAGCATTGGCAGCTCCCAGATCTGAGTGGTGAGGCTATATGGGAGAATCCATAGAGAGGATGACTGGAAGCTATTTAGCAGCCAAGAAAGGAGACACTCCAAAGCAGGAATTAATCAAAGGTTCTGGATATTTCGTATCTCAACTGTAGAAAAAGCATCTATCATCTTGCCATGCCCCCTGTCCTAGTCATCTGCCTAGGATCATTTCCTAGTAGGTCCCACACCCCCATCTTTGTAAGCCAAGGGTAAAAACAGGGATTGGTACATACCGATGATGTCTTTGACCAAAGGAGGAGGCTGTGATGAGAGTGAAAGTCTGCGATGGAGAAGCAGGTTAGCCCTCCAAGACCTTCCTCTGGGTCCCTCACAATGGACACCACTTGAGAATTCTCTTCAAGCCCTGTTGAAAGCAAAATCTTCCCGTCAGTTACAAAGAAAGAGCCACCATCTCCCCAAGGTGGCCCCTGACCTAGGCTCCTCCAACTGTTCCACTCATTGTTAAACTTGGAGAGGAGAGTAAAAAAAGAGATTCTCAACGGAACCTCAACAGTCCTAAGGAAGAGTTGAAGGAAGAGGCTTGAGCCGCCGCAGGATTCGGGTCATTTGCCAGCTCTTTACTACCGGACTCTGAACCAGTCCCATAACCTTCGGGTACTTTAGATTTCTGCCTGGGAGTTGGGGCAGGAAGACATTGGGGGAAGGGAAGGAAGAACTTAAAACAAAAAAAGAAAGCAAGGTTTCTTGTAAACGTAACAGTCATTCACAGCTCCGGGGGAGACTGGAAGCTCATTTTATTTAGAAACATGATCCTGACATTCAATTATCAGGATCACGGCACTTGCTACTTCTCTGGACCTAAAGTGTTTTCTATAAAACCATCCTGTGAGTTGGGGGAAGAGGAAAGCATGGGAGAGCAAGAATCTGATTCAGCTAGTGAAGAAACCGAGGCTGGGAGTGGCAAGCTGATATACATTGTGGAACAAGCTTCTTTTCCAGATCTCCTGCCTCCAGGCTCTCCCCACCCTCACCAACCATCTTCTGCAGAGCTCCTAACCAGACCGAGTCATCTCCACCAGTCTTGGCTGCCTCAGAGGCCCCGAGTCACAGATTAGGAGAGGCCAAAGTGACTTTCCTGAAGCACGCGTCACTCCCCTCCCTCTTGAACATTCGAGGACTCCCTTTGGCCATCAGGATAAAAAGCAAATGCTTCCAATTGGCTTTTAACATCCTTCCAAAACTGGTTTAACCTATCACTCTAGAATGACTTGTAATTGTGCCCCCCCCATGGGGATCTACGGGTCTATGCTCTAGAGTCCAAAACTGGCCCATTTTCTGTTCTCTCCTACGTCTTCTGTCTTTACCAAGGCTGACCTCCTTACCTCCACCTCTTGGAACCCTAGATACCCTGCAGTCTCAGCTCAAGGACCACCCTTGTTCTGATCCTCCCATTTGTTGGTACTCTCCTCCTCCTGAAACAACTTTGTCTATATTTGGGATCAACATATCGCTGTATCTTTTGTAGCCCCCCACGCCTGCCTCCTAGTAGAATGCAATCAGCTCGGTGGCAGACTTCTTTTTTGCCTGTATCCCTGCCCGGCACAGTGCCTGCCTTAACTTCAGAGGCCCCCGTATTTAGGACTTAAATATGAAGGTTCAATCCCTTCTGATTTGTTTTACAAATGAAGAAATTGAGGCACAACGAAGTCAAATGAACTACAAGGTGACAAACTAGTAAGAGGAAGGCATGAGTCTGAACCCTGTCCTCTGACTCCAAAGTCAGCATGTTGACCATTGATCCTCATCATCTAATAGACTTATGGAATTTAAATAGCAGAAGCATGACCCCAACCACAAGACCCGCAGACTCAGGGAGCCAAGGATCAGCTTTGGAGAAACTGAGTCTACTACGGTTATACGGGCACCAAGACAGAAAATTTAACCTCGGCATCTTTCTAGATGGGAACTGTCCGGCCCAAGAGAAGACTTCAGGTGCTCTTAGAGATTGGAGGTAGCACATGCCATGTCCATGGCCAAAATACCTGTGGCCCAGATGAAAATCAAATATGTTCATAGGATGCGGAGCTGGAAAGAACCTTCATGACCTAGCTCTTGGCCTTGAGAAAGCCACAGGAGGGGGAGCAGAGCAAGATTCAAATCCTGGCTCAGTTTTGGCTCTCTAAATGTCAAGACTTAATATCCCGAGGCCTCAGTTTCTTCCTCTACAAAATGAGGGGATAAGGAAGAATAGGGAGAAGTGAGCATCAGTGAATCATTTTTAAAAATAAAGAAGAGAAAATTCACCATCTGTATGTGGAGTAGAGGCTGGGACCCTGCTGAACTCCCCAACATTCCCCTCTAAACAATTTAAAAATAACACCACAAATAAAATTTTGGAGTAGCAGAGTCAGCGAAAGGTCATGTTGGGATATTTTTCCGGCCTAAGAAAACTTAAGAAGTCAACAGGAAAGTTTGTGAGGGGTGGGGGGACTAACCAGAGTCCACACTACATGAGCAGCAATTGTGGTTTCAGAAGCTCTCAGCCCAGAGACCGTAAGGGGGTCTAACTACTGGGCAAATAAAGGCTACAGGGAACCCTTGACTGGCTCTGGGTACAGCTGACACTGCCCATAAACAATTCTGGGTCACAGTTCCAGAGTGGGGAGGAACATTGGGTGTTGGTCACAAGGGAGCAGAGACCTCAGTCACAGTTTCAAGGCAAAGAGATCACCAGTGCTTGTGACTTCAGGGGACCAGGGGCCCTTCCTGGGTAAAGAGCAGAGCTCAGACCAGGAAAGCAATGACCACATCCCACCCTGCATCACATCTCCTTGGAAGCGCCAAAAACTTTCAGAACTCCAGAACTATCTCTGAAAACAGCATCACAAAACAGCCTGAAGCTGAGACAGTGCCTCCCCACTCACAGGAGAGCAGAGCCCAACTTTAACATAAAATTCAAAGTCAAGAAATATACTGGAAAAAATGAGCAAACAATGACAACAAAAGAATTTGACCATAACAAATGACTAAGGTGATAGGGAAGACCAAGATAGAAACTTGGAAGAAGACAACAATGTGAAAACAACTACAAACAAAGCCTCAAAGAAAAATGCTAATTGAACCCAAGCCCAACAAGAATTTCTAGAAGACTTAAGGAAAGAGGTAAGAGTGGTAGAGGAAAAAATGGGGAAAGAAATGAGTGATGTCAGAAAATTTTGAAAAGAATTAACAACTTGATAAAAGAGGCACCAAAAAAAGCAGTGAAGAAAATAATACCTTAAAAAACAGAATAGGACAAATGGAAAAGGAAATTAAAAAAAAAAATTCACTGAAAAAACAAAAGCAGAATTGACCAGGTGGAAAAAGAGATACAAAATCTCACTGAAGAAATTATTCCTTAAAAATTAGGTTTTGGCAAGCAGAAGCTAAAAATCCCATGAGACATCAGAACAACAACAACAACAACAATAAAACAAAGTCAAAAGAATGAAAATATAGGAGAATATGTGAACTATCTCATCAAGAAAAAAACAACTGTCTTGGAAAATAGATCCAGGAGAGATCATTTTAAAATCATTGGACTATCTGAAAGTCATGGTCAAAGAAAAAGCTTAGATATAAAATTTCAAGAAATTATGTCAAGGAAAACTTCCCTGATGCCTAAGATCCAGAGGGTCAAATCAAAATTGAAAAAATCCACCAATCATCTCCTGAAAGAGATCCCAAAATGAAAACTCCCAGGAATATGATAACCAAATCCCAGAGCTTCCAGGTCAAAGAGAAAATACTTCAAGCAACCAAAAAGAAACCATTCAAAGTTCATGGAGCTCCAGTCAGAATCACAGAAGACTTATCAGTTTTCATGCTAAAGGAGTAGAGGGCTTGGAATATGATATTACAGAAAGCAGAGGAGCTAGGAATAAAACCAAGAATAACCTACCCAGAAAAATTGAATATACTCCTTCAGGGGAAATGTTTATATTTAATGAATAGAGGACTTTCAAGCAATCCTGATGAAAAGACTAGAGCGGAACAGAAAATTTGAAATTCAAATGGAAAACTCAAGAGAAGCAACAGTAACCATACGGGTCTAAATAAAGTCAAGCTGTTTACATAGGAAGATGATACACGGAACTCCTTCCAAGCCCATATTGATATAATCAGCCACAGCCAGACACACTGTACACTGACCCCAACATCTTGATGTCATGTTGGTCTTCTATAAGAGTGAAGGACAAAAAACAACTCCTAAGAACTTTATCATTATTAGGGCATTTAAAGAGTTTATATAGACAGAGGGCATAGATGTAAGTCAATTATATTGGAATGATCTCAAAAAAAATGAAGGGGTCAGAAAGAGGGATGCACTGGGAGAAGGGGGAAGAGAGAGGTAGAATGAGGAAATTTTTCTTACATAAAAGAGGCTTTTACAATGGAGGGGAAAATGGGGTGAGGCAAGCAATGCTTGAACCCTTCTCATTAGAATTAGTTCAAAGAGGGAAGGGGAGAGGGAGAGAGACAGAGAGAATATGAATTAGAGTTGTGTATAGAAATGTAACTTATCCAATAGGGAAATAGGAAGTGAAGACAATAAAGGGGGGGGAGGAGATGATAAAAGGGAAAGTGGATTAAGGGAGGCCACGATTAGAAGCAAAATAGGCTCTTGAGGAGGGACAGGATAAAAAGAGAAAAAAGAAGAAATAGAAGAAAATAGGATGGAGTAAAATACATAGTAATCATAACTATGAATGCTAAAACAGAAGCGGAAAGCAGAGTGAATTAGAAACCAGAATCCAAAAGTATGTTGTATACAAGAGAGAAATTTGAACCAGAAAGACACACCAAGTTAAAATAAATAGGCAAAAGCAAAAATAAACCTAATTAAAGAGATAATCAGGGAAACCACATTTTGCTAAAAGCTATTACAGACAATAAAGTAGTATCAAAAAATGTTTACAGCAAATTTTCCCAATAAAGACCTCATTTCTCAACTATATACTGAGTATAGAATTGAGTCAAATTTATAAAAAGAAGAGCCAATTGATAAGAGCCAATAATTCCCCAATTGTTAAATGGTCAAATGATAAAAGCAGGCAGTTTTCAGAAGAAATCAAAACCATCTATGAAAAAAAAGTGTTCTAATCACTATTGATTAGAAAAAGGCAAATTAAAATAATTCCAAGGTACCACCTCACACCTATCAGAAATGACAAATGCTGAAGGAGACGGGGAAAGTATGGACACTAATGAACTGTTGGTGGATTAGTTAACCGATTCTACCGTTCTGGAGCAGCATTTGGAACTATGTCTAAAGGGCTATGACACTGTGCATACCCTTTTACTCAGCAACAACACTGTTATGTCTATATCCCAAAGAGATCAAAGAAAAAGGGGAAAAAACAT